TGCCACTTACTAGCCATGTGACCCTAGACAAGTTCCCCTCTATGCCAGTTTAAGAATCTCTAAGTAAATATAATACTAACACCTACCTCCCTTGTTGTGGGCATTAGGTTAGCTAATATGTGAAAAAGGCTTATTGCCCTAGAATAAGTACTCCTTAAATGTTACCTACCATCATTATCATCTTGCCCTTGTCAATTTCCTATTTAGTCCCATTTTAAATGCAGGATTTAGGGTAGGAAAGGGGAGTGAATAATTCCATAAAACAGAATGAAGACAATTGGAAATTAAACACATATCCAACATAACCTCCTATATCCACCCTACTTGTATTATATAAAATAGTGACTAATTTGAAACATCGAAGGCAACCACCCCTAAAAATTCCACCTTAACTGTACTTTTTATTTCTAAACTTGGTTCTGATCTATTTTGCCCTTGAACCTATAATATACTTCTCAAATCAGTAACAAATGGTCTGCAAAAAAAAAAAAAAGGTCTATATACACAAGAGACTTGAAGGCCTTTCAGCAAGATTCACAAGGTAAAGATGCATAAAATCATGCTTTGAAAAAAACAGAAAGAGGTAGATAATTTCATTTTTATATTGATGGTGGACATTATAATCTTAATGAATCATCAGCATAGTCACTCTAGGGTTGGGTGGCTTAATTGTGCATTGCATAAACCCAAGTCTTTAATATTCTTTCTTTCCTTTCAAAAATTCTCAATAAACACATTGTTTTCAAGTGAGCATACAAAATTTAAAATGTTTTATATAATCAAATTCAATAAATAGTGTAAGTATAAATACTCTTGCAGACTATTTTTTTTGAGTTTTAAAATTACCAAAACATACCAGAGCTTTTAATATGTATTAACGTAACTGTAATATAAGTTTAAAATTTGAAACATAGTTTTTATTACACTAAAAACATACAAACATTAATACACAAATTTTCTTTATCTAATAAGAGAGATTAAATGTCAACTAAGTACAATTACCATTAAATATAAAATAAACCTAGAAGGTATTTTTTTGCATTAAAGGTCATTTTCAGAATAATACTTTATGAGCATGACAGGGACTCATCTCATCTCATCATATTTCTCAATACCTCTTGTCAAAGCATATATGCAGTAAGTGCTAAAATAAAAAATGAATAAAACCACAATATTTCCAGATATCTAATTATCTGCCCAGCATTTCAAATTCCTTTAAATATCAGAAAAGTTATTCATCAATTTTAATTCTGACATTCCAATCAGAGAACGTGCAAAACTTTATTTTTTAAAAATATACTATAAATGGAAGTTTAAATGGTACAATCACTTTGGAGAAAAGTCTGTCTGTTTTTTAAAAAGTTAACTGTATACCTTCCCTAATCCAACATTATGTCCATAACAAATTTATACAAGAATATTTGTAGAACCTTTATACACAATAGCCAAAATCTAGAAATAGCCCAGAAGTCCATCAAAAGATAATGGTATTTTATACAATGGATACCACTAGCAACAAAAAACAGTGAATTACTGACACAAGTGAATTATTAAAAATGTTAAAATGGGTGAAGGAAAATAGAAACAAAGGGTACATGCTATATGACTCCAAGTACTGAAGTTCTAGAACAGGCAAAACTTATGCTTTTCAAAAATTAGAATAGTGGTTGCCTATGGTGCCAGAGAACTGATTAGAAAGGGACAAGAGAAAACTATCTGGGGTGATAATAATGTTCTGAATTTGAGAGGGTTTTAAGCTACACAGGTGTAGTCATCTATCAACACTCAACACTTAAGTTTTGTGTATTTCACTGTTTATAAATCTTACCTTAAAAAAAACATACATACACAGCCCTAGCTGGTTTCGCTCAGTGGCTAGAGCGCCAGCCTGTGGATCAAAGGGTCCAGGTTTGATTCCAATCAAGGGCATGTACCTTGGTTACAGGCAAGAGGCAACCAATCGATGTGTTTCTATCTGTCTTTCCCTCTCTCTAAAAGATCAATGGAAAAATATCAAGTGAGGATTAACCAAAATAAAAACAAAAAAAGAACCAACCATACATACACAAGTAAATATTGAATTCTAGTTCATAATACTCATGCTGAAGTATTTAGAAGTATTCTAATTCTGCAAGTTGTTTTAAAATGTTTTCTTTAGGGTTCTCCATATGCACTATCACAACATCTGCAAATAATGCGTTTTACTTCTTCCTTTCCAGTGTGAATGCCTTTTATTTCTTCTTCTTACTTGATTGCTGTGGCGAGGACTTCAGTACTATGTTGAATGAGAGTGGTGAGAGCGGACATCCCTGCCTTGTTCCCAAGCTTATAGTTTTTGCCCATTAAGTATGATAGTGACTGTGGGTTTGTCATACATGGCCTTCATTATATTGAAGTATGTTCCCTCTATTCCCACTTTGCGGAGAGTTTTTATCATAAATGGGTGCTGGATTTTATCAAATGCTTTTTCGCATCTACTAATATGATCATGTGGTTTTTATCCTTCATTTTGTTTATGTGCTGCATCACTTTTTTTGATTTGCAGATATTGTACCAACTTGAAATCCCGGAATAAATCCCAGTTGATCACAGTGTATGATTTTTTTTTTAATGTATTGCTGGATCCGGTTTGCTAATTTTTTTTGAGGATTTTAGCATCTATGTTTATCAGGGAGACTCGCCTATAATTGGGGGGAGGTGCTTGAGGGGATGTGGGGGATGGGGAATGAATTGAGCAAAAAAAGAAAACTTTAAAAATAATAATATAGGTTTTCTTTAAAAATCAATTGGTGGCCTTTTGGTTGAGTGGTGTCCATGCACCAAGAGGTCGCCAATTCAATTCTGGTCAGGGCATATGCCTGGGTTGCAGGCTCAATCCCCAGTAGGGAGCCTGCTTGAGGCAGCTGACTGATGTTTCTCTGTCTCTCTCTCTCCCTTCCTATCTCTCTCTAAAGTCAATAAAAACATATTTTTAAAAATGAACTGATAGATGGATAAAGGAAATATAGCAAAAAATTAATTGCAGAATTTAGGTGACAGACACGTTTACTATAAAATGCTTTTGATGTTTTCTATGTTTAAAGAGAATCTTTGTAACAGAATTGAATTCACACATAATTTAAAAATATGAAAGATCTGCTAACAAACGTACAAGTCTAATGATATATATACTTTAAACTGTTTGGGCTGACTTGGGTGGTATTTTTATCTTATTTATTTTGCTTTCCATTATTTACAAAGCAATTAAAAATAACAAATTCAAATTATAGCTACTAGTTTTAATCAAACAAATCAAAATTATATGCAAAGACTTAGCATAACTGTTAATGATTAACTAGGTTGCATGTTTTAAGATTTTAATCTTTTGTATTAAGTATTGTAACCATTTTTCATCTAATTATTTTTAAGTACTTGTAATCAAATTTACTATCAAATATTTAATAGATTTTGAGAATTTGTGGATCTTAATATTTGAAAAATAAATGTTATGCTATTTAGACATGGTACATTTGGTATCTACTATACCACTATCCTGTAAATAAATTTATTTCAATTATGCATCATAAAATTTTACCTCAACAGTATTGAATTCTTTGTCTTATGACACACAAAACAAGCACACAAATCAGTATAATGTATTACCTTGTATTTAAAAGAACATGTATTAAAACATTTAACCACGATCATCAACAATATATATTAAATACATTTTATCACACTCTAAATGATTTAAACATGTCTATTTAAAATTTGACATTACTCTAAAAGAAGGCACATGGAAACATTTTAAACATTTTTATATAAGTAAAAATGCAAAGGATAGAGTGAATCTTTCAAAAATGAAATAACTCCAAGTTGATGTGTCCTTATTATACATAAAAATACTTGATTTGAATATTTTAAGAAATCTGCTAATATCTTTAGAAATGAAAGAGCTTCATCATCTTTTTCAGGATGTCATTATAAATACCTCATTTAGAAAATCATAAGTTGTAAAAATAACAATGTACCCCCATTGGAAAATAAAGGAGAAAAAAAGAATTATAAAAATAAAATAAAATAAAAAACCTACAATGTACCATTTAAGTTCATGTGGGTAAGAAAAGATATAGGATGGCAACAACAACCTTGACCAATACTGGAGAAAAATCTGACAGTAGCAGACTATGTTTACAACTAATGGGCAGCAAAAGAACTTTCAAGGGCAATTTTGTATACACATGTTTACCTTCAACACTAATTTTAGAACCTAATTACACAAAAAAGATGCATGTTGTACTTTTTTTAACACAAAACTCTTTCCTAGAAACAACTCACAGAATTATTCTCATAGGACATATTTTGGAAAACTCTGATTTAGCTGCACAGAGTAAATATTCAAATTAAACATTCATCATCAGTTCTGAGTAGTACATGCTGAGACTGTAATATGAATTACTTTATATACAGTAATTTGCTTTCAATAATCTCAAAAAGTTAAACTATTATAAGAATGCATTTACTAGAATTATATTGTAAAAACATTACCTCAAATTACAATTATAAAATTCATTAGACTCAAAGAAGTCATAGTACAGATTAAAGATGATGAAATTGTCAAAATGATATATTATATACTCAAGGCATTTTTATAAAATATTTAAATCTAATAGCAGATATAAAATGTCGATGAAATTAAGCAATCAACAAGCTAAAATAATATCCTAACTGTCCACTTTATTTTTATTATTCCTATTTCTATAGCCATAACCTAAATTTCAGACTTCCTTTATTCTCACTACAAGATGCTATTATAACACTAACTTAGAACTCTAATTTATATCCCCCTAATCAAAAGCCTTCAATGGCTTCCCATTTTACATTCATGTCTGATTCCTTAAAAAGTTTACTTTTTATTTATTAATTAATTTTAGAGAGAGAGAGGAAGGGGGAAAGAGAAAAAAACATCGATTTGTTATTATACTTATTTATGCATTCATTGGTTGATTCTTGTATGTACCCTGACCGGGGATCGAACCTGCAACCTAGGCTTATTAGGAGGACACTCAAACCAACTAAGCTACCAGGCCAGGGCTAAAAATAGTTTTTAATGTAATCTATAATCTGGCACCAACCAACTTCCAAATTGATATCCCTTAACTCACTTTTACTCCTCTTTTCAACAAATTTTTTTGAGAATCTAATATGATTTAGGCACCAAGCTAGGTTCCAAAATATTCTGTCTAGTGGGTCTCAAACTGAGGGTTTGTGAAAATATTGCTGGACTCCACCTCCAAAGTTTCTAATTCAAAAGGCATGAATTTACATTTCGCACAAGTTCTCAAATGATGCTGATACTACTGGTCAGGATCTACTCTTGGTGAACCATTGCTCGACTTCTAAGGCCACAAAGGAAGCCCACAGGCTGAATGCCATCCACTCACATGTTTTGTCTGTGTAGTGTTTTAAACATTTTAAATTATTTGCAACATTTTAAAATTGGAAAATTTTTCACATAAAATGCAGATCTCTGGCTTATTGTGCATGTAAAAAGTCTCCCGGAACTAAACAGTAGTTACAGTCAAGGAAGATGTCTTAAGATTACCACTATCCTAATGGGCCCTCTACAGTCATGTACAATCATCTGGTTTAGCACTGTATTTGTGCTTGTACACGATGATCCACTTCTCCCCATTCTCTAGGCCTTTTTTCATGCTGCTCACTTTGACTTAAATGTCCTTTGCCCACTGTACTGCTAAAATTCTGCCTACCCCATTCTAAAGCCTGGCTTAAAAATCCTTCCTCAACAAAGCTCTAGCAAAAATAGAAATCGGTAAGTAATATACATACTAAAGATTTAACTTAAATTTAATATGTGTGCTTTAAGAATGAAAGTTTTATTTCCACAAATACTAAAATAGCAATATTTAAATAAACATTACAGATTATATCATAAACTATAAACATACTTTTTGCTACTTTTAATCTATGTAAAATTTTAATTTTGTTCATTAAAATTTTTACTGTGAAATCTTTTCCAGAGTAAGACATTAAAAGTGAATTAAAACATTAAATCTTACAGCCAAGATATATAATAGCTCCAAGAGATTATCTTATTTTTCTGGCAAAAAAAAAAAAAAAAAAAAAAAGGTGGGTGGGGGATGGGGATAATTGATACAATTCCCTTGATTTCATAACCTCCCAATCTTTAAAAACTACTTTAATAAAATAAGCACCTCCAATTTTTTTAATATGGAGGTTAACTTTAATGGATCTTTATTTCTATGGAATAGTAGGGGGGGGGGAATTACAAACAAAAACTCAGTGCTGGTCCTTGCTCTGCCAAAAATAGCTTTGTTATATCAAGTAAGTCACTGAGTTCTTTCTGGACCTCAGTTTTATTAGCTTCTAAATTGAAAAGGGGGTAAAAAGTGATCTCCAAATACTTTCCATCACTAAAGTCATAGGACTTACTCCTTCAAAAAATGAAAGCATAAAAATCAATGTCATAAAGACAAGCTTCCTGTTATTGGGCTAGTATTGCTTCTAAATTAGACTGAATTAAAAACCTTGAACTACAGCTTTTCAAAGCTCTAATTTAAAATGTTGAAGATAGAGCTTTGAAAGACTACTTATGTGTTTGTGTATATATTTATGTATGTTATATTTTAATGATCAAAATATAACATCTTTTGTAAGGCCAACAATTAAACTTCTTAGAAAAAAAACAGAGGAGACAAAAAAAATAAAACCATGCCATACAATCAAAAAATTATAATATATATCAAAAGAAAATTAAATAATTTTTAAAATGTCAAAGGTTTTTTTCATAATAGAGATTAACGATACATTATAATACATATTCTGTTTTAAGACATTCCCAAGAGAAAGTAACGGCCAAAATTAAAATTATATTGTGAAACTGAAAAAAATTTAGAAACGATTATATTCAGGCAGATCATGCCGTAAGCGAATTGCTTTCAGCTTCTCCACTTCAATTTTTGCTTGTAGCAGCTCTTCTTCTAGCTGCTGCCTTCTTTTCAATCCATCCCTCTTCTCCTGAACATATAATCCAAAATTTTTTTGATTTTCTAAAATTATCTGATGCTCCTCTTTCAGCATTTGCAGAATCTGAGGATCATACCCTAATTGTGACCTAAAGTGTCCTCCACACTCATGATGAAAAAAATCATCTCTCCTTGGGATGGAAGATGGAGACGATGTCATTCTCATATCAACAGAGGAAAGTGACGGCGACACAGATCTGTCCATAACATGTACTAATTCATGTTCTTCTCTTTGCTCTAAAGTATAACTCTGTTCCGAATTTAAAACCAGTGGAGGAGGGGGCTTAATGTCTTCTTCTTGCTTCACCTCCACTGTAATAGCAACTGGATGCTGATCCAACATTACCTGTAGTGAACTGGTACCAGCCTGTGCCTCCTCAGCCAAGTTTGCACTATAGCACACAAAAAAGCATTATAAAATGTAAATCAAATGAAGACAAGAGTATATTTACACCATAATTTCATGTTTAATGTACATTACATTAAGCTTTAAAGCTATACAGAAAATTATGAAACAAAAAAATTTAACCCTTAGAATAACAAATTGAAAGTGAGTGACTAAATTTAGGATTTTAATAACATATACATATATGTTACTTCCCATCCTTAACTTTAAAATATGGCTCTTAAAAGAACATGAAATTATAAATACTACACAAATGACAATGAGGTAAATAAAAAAGAAAAGCCATCTTTAATGGTTTCAGAGACGCAATTGCTCCTACAAGCCTGACGTTCTTTAATTGTATGCTGGGCCTTGCTGTCCCTATCCCTTTGCCCTTGATCTGCTTCTGCTCTCCTGGACTGAACTAAAAATCACCAAGTTCCAAGACTTCTAGGAGGATAATGGAAGGGCATCTATGAGAAGCAATGTTTTCTGCATTTGTCCAAAAAAAAAAATAAATCAAGATTGTGTATGGCTTCAGATGCCATCAGGGTTATCCTAACTATCTAATTTCAGGTGCAATGGTGTTTAATCTTACCTATCCTAAACCACATGACTCAGTTGTTCTCTCAGTCTCTCAACCATTGGTAAAGTTAACCGGCCAAGGGGTTTATATTGACCACTACATCCCCAGCACCTAGCACCTGGTAGGTGCTCATCATATGTGGTATGATTAAATATAGATAAAACGGTTATGTCAGTGTAATGTTTTTAAATAGGCTATATCCAATACACTGAAAGTTTATTAAATTTACATGTTATTTCCATAAAACTGTATAGGCATCTACAGTTTTAGCATAGTTTATTAATATTGTATTATGTAAATATAATGTACCTTAAAGTTCTGTTTTTAAAAAAATAATTTCAGTTATACCATGAAGCTGTTAATTAAGAATATATAATCTTGTTTCTTGAGGGGTATTTTAAAATTTTTGCTTCTGCCTTACTTAAAAATAAAAATTAGAAAGGGAAAGAGATGATTAGAATATTAATGGAAGTGCTATATTAACATTACAGAACGTTTCACAAATGATAAGTAGCATAGTTTAAGTAGAACTTAGAAAAAAATTTAAAATCCCCATATGTCACTTACTAATGGCATTAAATTGTCAATAATATCAGATGTTTGTCTAAGGGATACAAATGAAATATATAGTATGTTATAAAAAACCTATTTGTAGATTATATAAATTCATCCATTTTCATAACTTCTTTTGTCATCTTATAATTTTATTTTAAAACATATTTTTATTGATTTCAGAGAGGAAGAGAGAGAAGGGGAGAGAGAGAGAAACATCAATGATGAGAGAGAATCATCGATTGGCTGCCTTCTGCTCGCCCCTCACTGGGGACCAAGCCCACAACCCCAGCAATGTGCCCTGACCAGGAATTGAACTGTTACCTCCTGGTTAGTAGGTTAATGCTCAACCACTGAGCCAAACTGGTTGGGCTATCATCTTATGATTTTTGAAAGCAAAACGATAGAATATAAATGTAATTCAAATTGGTAAGATTTACTTTTATTAACATCTCTAAAACCTATAATGGGAAAATATTAAAACTGCAGGTTAAATTTAAAAAATTTACACAATAACTATTCCAAATTAATATGTACAATAGAGTATAATACAATTAGACATATACATTATACTCTCATGTAAATTAAAAATATGCCTTATATCTGGAATATCCTATTCCATTTTAGTGGAAACATTGTAAGTAAGGTCATCATATAAAAAATGTTTTAGAGAAAGTCACAAAAATGATAAACAGAAGGGTTTCTAAAATTTAGAAATATGAATTGTAAGGATCAATTGAGTTACAAAAACACAAAATATAATTTGATATTCGAAAGAAGTAAAAATAAAGACATAAATCAATGTGTTACAGAGATAGCCTAACCAAATATGTGTATATTTTTTAAATATATTAAATAATATAAACAGTAAGATTTTCCTTACTAAGAATGGAGAGACTGGTGAGATTAGCAGGCATGTTTATATAGAAGCATAATTAAAATTATAGAATAATTATAAACTTGTGAGATAATTATCAAGATTCAAGATGATGTCAAATAAGTATAAGCATATTAAATATATCAATATATTACATGAAAACACTAATATGAAAAATGACAGTGTAGACACTAACATAAGCAAGCATTAAAATGGCTTATTTCTAATATTCTTCACTTTAAAATATGAAAAATTGTTATTGTTTAAATAGTAGGTATAAAAATACGTGAATCAATTAATTCCTTTTATCAGAGAAATGTTGTCCCAAAAGATTGTATGTTACATACATACACATACAAATGGTCAAAATATAAAGATACTTTTATCTTATTTCTCTTCTATACTCAGTTTTTAAAATATGCAACTAACTGAAACTATAGTTCCCATGTGTAGTTTTCAAATTACAAAGGTCTATACTTAATACCCAAAAGATGGTTTTATACCTGTAATGCAGAAGCAACTTTTCTTATGGTTTGAGGAGAAAAAAAATGTAATAACTAACACAGTATAAAACAGTCTTACTGTGGAGGTTTCTGACATCCATCATATTAGGATTTAATCATTTGTCATCTCAGTGAACATTTTAAGCAGTGGCCTCATAATTTAATACATTGTGTATCCATGTCCTGGATTCCCACTAGTGATATTTTTTTACTATGCTGTCAACTAGAAATAAGCAGTAGATGGTAAGAAGCTGGGCTCAAAAAATGATCCCAGTAAATTATCAAAATAACAAATATGTTTGGTTAAAAAGTTCTTTTCCCTGTTTCTCTCCTAACTTCAAAAAGATTTCACAGGTAATCAATAAATGTGCTTATATAATGACTCTCCCACTAATAGAAAAGCACATTGTAAAGCTTTATTTGAAAGGTCTCTCAACTAACAAGAAGTTTACAACTTGTTTAAATTACCCTAAATGGTTCAGAAAAATGTAGCTACCATTTTTATCTTTTCCCAGGGGTTAAAATTTGAATCAGTAGTAAGGTAATAGTTTTTAAGATTCCAAGGCAAGTAGTTATGTAGAGCATAAATTTAAAAACAACAAAATGTTTCTAACACTTTATGAAACCAGTTGCTCTTATTGGTATATTAAAATTCATAGTTTGATATCCTTGCAAAGCAATTTGTGAAAACCTGTCCTTTCCTATGTGACCCACGATCAATGTGAAACTATACCATTAATAATTACACAAAAACTTTAAATTTTATTAAGTAACCTGAATCCCTAATTAGGCATTAATTCCTTTCCTTGTGTTTATTTTAAATATGTTAGAAAAATAACTTAAACTGTCTTAACATATGCAATAATACCATTAATAAGTTTACTTAATTATTGATTTTAGTTTTTTAGCTCAAAGAATATTCAATAAGTGGAGACAGTGACAATTTCACATACAAGCAAGGGTTCCATTTCTCCTGCAACTAACTTTCTATGAAACTGAAAATTCCAATGAAATGTAACCTTAAATGAAATCTTAAAAGGTCTCTCTCAGCTAATTACATAATTTAATTTTAAAGCTTAAAAAGTTTATGAACAGATGTCACAAATTTCATCCCAATTATTCCTCCCTAACCTTTACTTTTTAGAAACTACAGAAGGAGGGAAGGGGGAAGGGAAGACAATAAAAGTGACTTAAATGAAATGCAGCAGGAAAATTCCTTATAGCCTCACTTTTCTTTTTTTAGAACGCAAAACAAAGACACTATTCATTGCTCCCGTGTGGGGATGCTTACTATGCATATCTCTGTCACAACTAAGCCAGAGCCCAATAGATAGGAGGCGCCATAATTTTCCACAACAAAATAAAATAAAGCTTACCTTTGTATGTGGTTCCTGTCTCTTACCAGGCAAAAACTGGAAATCTGGGGAATCATCTCCATAACTTTCTTGGTTGGCTCAGAAATACTGCTTTTTAAATCTGATTGGGTATCTTTTTGCTGCAATAGCTCCTGTTTGGCATATTCTTTGAGCCTTTTGTAAAGGGTGCGTAGGCCCTGCGCTGTTCGAGGAGGGCGGTCTACTCCAATTGCATTATAGTTAACTGCTATGATATCCCAACATCTATTCTTTTCCACTATTACTGAATGCTTATTAGTGTGTTCTTCGAGGATTTTCACATATGGCTTCACAAGTTTTAGCAAATCAAGCTTTTCAGATAAGGTAAAATTGGAAGATCTAGCCTTTCCTACCATTGTTCTTTTCTCAAATTAAGGAGGCAGTTTCTGAAACCACCATGCAGCCTTCAGCTCTGCTCAGCTCTTTTCACAAACGGAAAAAGATCAGGCTTAACTAGGCTAGCCTCATTTAGGCCCACGCCTACAGGGGAGGGTTTATTAAAATTCCTCCAGCTTAAGCTGACGCAGGTTCAGGAAATCTGCTTAAGCCAAGCCTGACCTACATAAAGCTTCTCACTGAAACAGACAGGAAGGCACAGGCAAAACACACTTGTGTATAAAGAGAGCAGCTCAAGATAGGATTTAATAAACAACGGTCTAGAGATAAGCATGGAACACAGCTAAAAATTAGCTAATTTGGTGAGAATATCAGGTTTCCACATATGTATGCTTAGCTGATATTGAAACTGCACTGCAGTATCACTTTAATAAAAACAAAAGAGGAACTGTTTTGTCCTATCTGTTTACAAATCCAGAGGACAGAAAAATAAAAACTAACGACATGAGTGGTGAATGTAGTGATTCCTAACTGAGCAAGGCCCACGGTTTCTGAGCTGCTATTCTCTTACAAAATCTGCATAATGCTGGTCCTGCTGTCAATCAAGAATTGCATATCGTCTAGCTAGTTAGGTTACACCCAGACTCAGACTCCACAGTAAAGCTAAGCTTCTCCTTCATTTTACAATCTACAGTATCCACTGCGGTGTGTGTGTGTTTTTTCAGTTACTTAAGAATAAATTTTTGTCAAACAATGAATCTAAAAAACAGATAAAAAAAGGTTTTTAAAGCAATTTTTTTATTCTAGCTGTAACATATGTGAATATGCTAGCCTGCTCTATCATGTGTAAAAATCACCATCCACGGTGAAAACAGCATACTCTCGCCTTAAGACTGCACACAACAAAATCACTATTTTGCTATTATTAAGGGGTGGGATTTTCATTTAGCTATACTCACACAATCTCAACTACTAAAGCAAACAGCCATTTGCAAGGCTACCAGTTTACATGCTTAGAATATATTTTCTAATCCCTGTCTGAAAATATGGTAAATAACAATGTAAGCAAAATAAGGTTTTTTTCTCCTGATATATATGTTTATCCAGATAAAAGAATGAATTAGAACATATTTGAACATGTTGTAATGTACCCCGTGAATCACAGAAGGACGCCTCAAGAAGTCGAATTAAAGAGTCATGTTTATTGCAATCCGGGACTATGAGGGGTCATTCCCAAATCTCATAGTACCATTTGGTCACAGTTCCAGGATTATATAGGCAAAAAATCACAAAGGTATTGATTACATCTCAGGGTTTGGAATGAGGCACCTGGCTCGCAAAAAAGCGGATTACAGAAGCAGAATTAAGCATGTTAATTACAGTTTCGGGTCTCGGGGTCACTGAATTGACAGAAATACATTATCTAGAGCCCTCGGGTCTCGAACCATTGAGTTGGCAGGAAGTCATTATCTAGAGCCATCGAGGCAATTTAGAGTAATTGCACTGTCCTGGTCTTAGGACCACTGAGTCAACTGGAATGCACCACCTGTGGCCACTAAAACAATTTAGGGTAATTGTGCTGTCCTGGTTCCCAGGTACAGAAGAATGCTTTCTAAAACCAGTAAGATAACAATCAATGGGATAGTCATTCAATCGAATGGGATGATTTATACAATTCAGAAAATCAAAGTAACTTTTCTATTGTTAAGCCAAACAGCAGGGTTAGAGTTAAACTACAGTTTCTACCTGATGGTTGCTACCATACTTCAAACACAGTTCCATTCAACCAAACAATTACTGAACAGCCATTAAAAATCCTCCCAAGCACTGTGCCAGGCCCAAGGAAAACAAAGGTGAATCTACCTGATACAGCCCCTATTCAGGAAGCTGTAGTTCTGCAGAAACACCGTAAAATTTCAATTCCTTGTTTTTCATTCTTTCAATAGAGAGAAGCAAATTAAATGTATTGAGTTCTCATATGAGCCACACAATGTGCAAGAAGTTTTAAATGTGGATCCATCAGGGAAAAAGGGAAAGACTGCTGGGTGTTCTAATGAGATATGCAGACAGGGACCACATGGAGATAGGGGGAAAGGAAGTCAGATATGGAGGCAAAACCCGGCTGGGCTGGGAAAACTTGACCCTTGACCTGGCCAGGTGGGAACAGTGATGTCACCTGGGACCTGAAGTGGCAGTCCTTAATCAGGTCCTCCCACAGGTGGAAACTTGAACTTTGATATAATTGGATATTGCCAGAATTCCTTAAAGCAGTGGTTCTCAGCCTTCCTAATGCCGCGACCCTTTAATACAATTCCCTCATGTTGTGGTGACCCCCAACCATAAAATTATTTTCGTTGCTACTTCCTAACTGTAATGTTGCTACTGTTATGAATCGTCATGTAAATATCTGATATGCAGGATGTATTTTCATTGTTACAAATGAAAGCATAGTGATTAATCACAAAAACAATATGTAATTATATATGTGTTTTCCGATGGTCTTAGGCAACCCCTGTGAAAGGTTCGTTTGACCCCTATAGGGGTCGCGACCCACAGGTTGAGAACCGCTGCCTTAAAGGGACCAATCAGAAGCTAACAGAGTATATAAACATCCCCTAAAGAAATAGCTTAAATAGGTTACCCATTTGGGGCTCCCTTCCTGCTGTCTTGCAGCAGGAAGTCCACATATCTCCTCCCAAAAGCTTTGTTCCCACCTCCCCCTCCAATAAATTGTTTCCTTCCCACCATTTTTGTCCCTGAATCCATTCTTCAGTTTTACAAGACAAAGAACTCGGACCTAACCACATTTTGGGCATATTTTGGGTTTCACTATGGAATGCAAGGTGTGTTGTCTGGCATACCCTACTGCAGGGGTGGGCAAACTTTTTGACTCGAGGGCCACAATGGGTTCTTAAACTGGACCGGAGGGCCGGAACAAAAGCATGGATGGAGTGTTTGTGTGAACTAATATAAATTCAAAGTAAACATCATTACATAAAAGGGTACGGTCTTTTTTTTTTTTTAGTTTTATTCATTTCAAACGGGCCGGATCCGGCCCGCGGGCCGAAGTTTGCCCACGGCTGCCCTACTGAGTAGTCTGATTTGTTAGTAGTTCTAGCTTTTCACTGCCTTTGGTCAGTTTTATTGCTCAATAAATTGTTGTAAATAGTAATGATTATTGTCCATAGAGATGGGAATTGAAAATTGACTCGTCCCAGCAACCTGACCACAGATATGCAAAGAAAAACAAGAACACAAGATATATACTATCTTTAAATAATATTTTGTATTTTTGGGAAAAATGCAGATATTATATTAAGAAACAAAATACTAATAAAAATATGAAAAACCATTCAATCTCACCAAATTATCAAGGAAATGTATAGTAAAAATGACTTTCTTCTATAAGATTGGCAAAATTCTTAAAGACTGAAAATGTCAAGAGCAGATAAGGGGGCAGGGCAAAGAGCACTCTTTGGTGCTGTTGATGGACGTGTAAAGTGGCATTCTGGACATCGATCTGGGAAAATCCATTAATATTTTACATTTGTAAAACCTTCCAAAACTGTTAACCTAAAAATAAATTAGCAAAGTGAGAGACAACAAGTATTTTACTTGAGGATCAACACAATAGCTATTCAGGAAGCAGTGATTCAGACAGAAACCCAAAGTCTTCCAATTAGGAGGTGAAGGCAAGGGGTATTTATGAGACAGAAAAGGGGAATAATTACATGAATAGAATCAAGGGTGCTAATAAGCTAAGGAACGAATTTCTGTAGATGCAGATAAGCTAAAAGAGTGATGCTGATTCTTAAAAATGTCTTTAATTTTCAGTACAGTAGTCATAATAACTGCTCTCTTGTTATCTTTGCAAATAGTTCTGTGGAACACAATGTTGCTTTAGGCTCAGATCAAATATTGTTTTGCCCAGTTTTAACATTCCAAAGATTTGAGGACTAAGACATACAGGCAAGGCAGTTCCTCTGGGATGACAGCTCCAACTCCATTTTGAAATGGCTCCATTTATATTATTTTTTTACAATACTATGGTCTACATTAGGCAGCATTAAAATGAAAGAGACAGATTGCTTTTTTAAAATATATTTTTATTGATTTCAGAGAGGAAAGGAGAAAGAGAGAGAGAGAGAGAGAGAGAGAGAGAGAGGGAAACATCAATAATGAGAGAGAATCATTAATCAGCTGCCTCCTGCATGCCCCACACTGGGGATAGAGACCGCAACCCAGGCAGGTGCCCTGACTAGGAATCGAACCATGACTCTTGGTTCATAGGTTGATGCTCAACCACTGAGCATACCAGCCAGGCTTCAATTTTTATTTTATTTTATTTTTATTTTTTTACAGAAGAAAACAACGTTTTAATATATGTGCATGAGTAATTTCAGAGGTATGAAAATTCCAAAGACAGTGAGGCAACACTGGGTATATAAGACATTTTGGACAAAGGAGAAAGGGGATGGAAGGGAGTATTAGATTTCAGAAAAATGGAGGATTTACAGGTAGTTGGGGAGGAGGGGAACATACCTGGCAGGCAAATTCTTGCTAGGCAAATCAGAAAGAATGGGACTTAAGGGGTACCTGCCTGAAGCCCTCTGTTTACCATACTTAATTCAAATTAGGCTAAGGCCACATCACTGAGGATCTGTATAATTCTGATTTGATTTAAACTGTAGTTTTAAAGCCATCATATTTTTCTTCTCTCTCTCTGCTAACTTCACTGCCCTGATGATCCCTGACTCCTGAGACAGCAGAAGACAATAGCCCAGTTCTGAGTAATGGTCACCCCAAGGTTTAATCCCCTGGCAGGCTAAAGATAACAGCTCCTGAGCCCTAAGGCAGGAAAACCCTCTTGGTTACTTGTTCTTGAAAGTAGTTCTGGACACCCAGCTGACCTGGGAGTTGTCCTCAAGACCTGAAGGAATGATTTATTACCCTTCTCTCGCCTCTGACCAATCAGCTCCTACTATGACCCTGAACCCCTAGCCCTTGGTGCCTTGTGATTTTGCCCTACATAATCTGTAACCTATGTCCTGGAGGAGTTGGGTCTTTCCGAGTAGGAGCCCAGAGGCCTCCAGACTGGCCAGTGCAGATAAACCAATTCCTTTTGTTAGGGGCAGAAATAGAACACTATCACATCAAGTTTGTTTTTGTTTTATAATTACAGTTAACATTCAATATTATATTAGTTTCAGGTGTACAGCATAGTACTTAGACTTACAATTTACAAAGTGATTTCCCTGATAAGTCTAGTACCCACCTGTCACCATACATAGTTATTACAATATTGACTATACCTTGTTACTATTTTATAACTGACCATTTTTAAAAATATTATTTTATTGATTTCCAAGAGGAAGGGAGAGGGAGAGAGAGATAGAAACATCAATAAGAGAGAATCATTGATCGGCTACCTTCTACACGCCCCCTACTGGGGATTGAGCCTGCAACCGGGCATGTGCCCTTGACCAGAATCGAACCTGGGACCCTTCAGTCCACAGGCTGACACTCTATCCAATGAGCCAAACCAGCTAGGGCTGTAACTGACAGTTTGTACTGATCACAAATCACAACAAGTATAACAGTAATGAAAAATTCTGAAATATTGTGAGAATTACCAAAATGTAACACAGAGACACAAAGTGAACAAATACTATTGAAAAATGGAATCAACAGAACTGCTCAATACAGGGTTGCACAAACCTTCAATTTGTAAAACACATTATTTGCAAAGCCCAATAAAACAAAGTGCAATAAAACGAGGTATGCCTGTATGTACTTTCATATAGCTTGAGCATCACAATAAATGATATATGCACTGTTCATACATTGCTGGTGGGAATATAAAGTTGTAGTATCTTCAGAAGGCAATTCATCATTATCCATCAAAATAACAAATGCACACACCTTGAGACCAGCACCCTACTCCAATGTATTTACCCTATTGATATAGTCTTACCTATGTTTATAATACATAGATATTTGATCAGACCGTCAAACCTCAGAGGGAAGGTAGGGGAGGGTGGGGGTAAGGGGGAGAGATCAACCAAAGGACTTGTATGCATGCATATAGGCCTAACCAATGGACACAGACACCAGGGGGGTGAGGGGGCAATGGGGGGATAAGAACACATATGCAATACCTTAATCAATAAAAAATAAAAATATATATACTGTATATTCACTATAGCTTTGTTTGTAATAACAAAAAAGCTAAGCAATCTAATAAGGCTCTGGTTAAATATACTTGGCAAATCCATACAATAGGATATTATGTAGTTTTTAAATAGAAAGAGGTAGTTCTAAATGTACTGACAAAAAGATTTCAAAGATAGACTGTTACAGTAAAAATGCAAAGTATAGAACAGTGCAGTTAGTGAACAATAATTTGTATGGGGAAAATATATTACATACAAATGTTTCCAAATGTACAAAATATCTCATAGATACCCAAATACTGGTAACTGGTTGCCTCTGGAGAAAGAAACTAGATGGTGAAGGATCAGGGAAAGGGGACTTCTTACTATTACTGTATTCTTCACGACTTCTGAATTTTTTACCATGTGCGTTCATTACCTATCTTTTTTTTTTTTAAATATATTTTATTGATTTTTCACAGAGAGGAAGGGAGCGGGATAGAGAGTTAGAAACATCGATGAGAGAGAAACATCAATCAGCTCAGCTGCCTCCTGCACACTTCCGACTGGGCATGTGCCCGCAACCGAGGTACATGCCCTTGGCCGGAATCGACCCCGGGACCCTTCAGTCCGCAGGCCGACACTCTATCCACTGAGCCAAACCGGTTAGGGCTACCTATCTTTTTTTTTTTTTTTTTTAAAGTCACAAGGAACTATATATTGTAGGATTCTATTCATATGAAATGTCCAAAACAGGCAAAACCATAGAGACCGAAAGCAGATTAGTGGTTACCAGGGCTGGGAAGAGAGAGGGGAATGATGAGTTGACTGATTAATTGGCCCTGGGATTGCTTTTAGTGTGATGAAAATGTTCTGAAACTAGATATTGGTAATGGTTGCAAAACACTGTAAATGTGCTAAATGCCACTGACTTGCACACTTTAAAATGGTTAAAATGGTGAATTTTTGTCCGGCCCATTGTGGCTCAGTGGTTGAGTGTCAACCCATGAACCAGGAGGTCATGGTTCGATTCCTGGTCTGGGCACATGCCTGGATTACAGGCTCAACCCCCGGTAGGGGACATGCAGGAGGCAGCCCATTGATGATTCTCATTGTTGATGTTTCTATTGCTCTCTCCTTTTCCCTCTCTCTGAAATAAAAACATATATCTATATATGTACGTACATACACACACACACATCTATAATAATAAAAGCGTAATATGCTAATTAGACCAGACGTCCTTCCAGATACTCTACCCACTGAGCCAAACCAGCTGGGGCTCCATGCTTTTCTATATGCAACATCTCTCTTCAGCAATCACTATAGAAAGCAAGATGCTTCTTATAATGCTCTTTTCCCCAATTAACCTCTCTCTCTGAATGACAGGCAGTGGGGTGTCAGGAGGTTGGCACAGGTTCCCCAGTCCAGTAAATGCATTAAATCGGAGAAGGATTAAGGGATTAAAGGTTGAATAAATTAAGTAAACTCTTCAGTTTATCTTAACACTTAACTCTCTTCTCATAGTAAGCAGGGAAGAGAACAAGAAACCATAGAACACAAATGAAACCCCAAACCAGTAACAAGGAATGTAACATACTGTAGAGTCTAAATATCATTCACTGGGGAAGATGTTAGTTACCATGATAGAAAAAACAAAAACAAAAAAACAGGCATGCATGGGTCATTATCTGGCACAGGCCTGACAGTAGAGATGAAAGACTGGGAAAATAGGACATTCATCTAACAAAGATAGAAGAAAAGAGGGAGAAAGTAAGGTAGGAAGAAATGAGAGCAAATCAGTGAAACATGGCAGCAGCTACACTGCCATGCCCAGAACTGTTTCTACAAATCTCCCTGAATTGGTACCAGCTCCAAAAGTCCTTCCCCACTTTTAAGTTCTGAGGAGCATAAATGGTACCAATGATTCTGACCAATTGGGGAAATACAAA